ATTGATGAATGCCAAACAACCAACAACTGCAGCTCCTCGGCTATCTGTACCAATACCTATGGTGGCTATACCTGCACTTGTAATCCTGGCTACACCGGTGATGGCTACACTTGTAATGATATTGATGAATGCAAAACAACCAGCAACTGCAGCTCCTCAGCTAGCTGTACCAATACGAATGGTGGCTATACCTGCTCTTGTAATTCTGGTTACACTGGTGATGGCTACAAATGTAATGATATTGATGAATGCAAAACTACCAACAACTGCAGCTCCTCATCTAGCTGTACCAATACGAATGGTGGCTATACCTGTTCTTGTAATTCTGGTTACACTGGTGATGGCTACAAATGTAATGATATTGATGAATGCAAAACTACCAACAACTGCAGCTCCTCAGCTAGCTGTACCAATACCAATGGCGGCTTCAAATGCACATGCAATACTGGATATAATGGAGAGGGCCATGTTTGTTTAAGTATGTGTCACGTGTTTTTTATCTTGGAAAAGTTTACAAAATTTAATGGATAGTTATTGTTGCACTATGATATCGTCATGGTCAGAACTCAAACAATTAATAGTAAAATGGTATATTAGATTTTTACTTGTTTAAGACTTTACAGAAATAGTTTACACTGAATTTAAAAAAAATACGTATACAAAATATTATGTAGATGGCATTTAAGTATCACTAAGTTTGTATAAAATGTGGATTTAAATTTTATTTCCTGGATAAATTCAATTGAATTATCAATAAAACATTAAAACACCAGTAAAAATGTATATTTTTGTAAGAGACCATCATTATTCGCATACGGTTTTTAAATCTGTTCACGTTATTCGATCGTCAGCAAATTATCATTTTTATCGTATTTAGCCTTTGTTAAGTAGTAAAATATGTAGTAAAAGATAAGAAGCGTTAATGAGATAAAAAAAATTAGATGACCTTTTTTTTCAGAAATTCAGGAAGAAAAACTTAGTTCACTTTTCATTTTTACCTTTCCAGTCGTAAAATGTCAGCTGCCAGAGTTACCAGACAAGGTCGCAGTTAAGTACGATACCTTGGTATTTGGCAGCACTTTAACATACAGCTGTAGCGATGGAGACTTGGTGCTGGCAGGGAGTTCAACAGCAGTTTGCATGAATAACGGGAGTTGGAGTTCCGAACCTCCATCTTGCACGGGTAAATATGCTAAGATATGTAAATAGAAAGGATGAAAATGTTTATGTGTAAACCGATGTCTCTAATTGACTTTAAATTTCATGTAATTACGTAGATTTGAGTGGGCAAGAAAACGAGGAAAATGGCTAGTTAACGAAACGGGTCTTGTTTCAGTGTTATTATTTGCACCAATAAGGAGTATAATTGTATTAGAAAGGGGTGAATATTTTTTACACTTTGTGAAAGAAAAGGGGGTGCTATAGATGGTTCCTAATGGGTAAACGATACACTTTCCGTAAACTGTTTTTTCTTTGCATCTTTTGTTAACCAGTTTCACATTTTCCTATACATGAAACATGCTAGAACGAAATACTTGAGCTTTTCTGCAGTGTATTATTGAATAGTCTTCCTTGCGACACTGAATGCTATGAAATGATTTTTGTTTTAGGTTTTACTTCACAAGAAGGCAAAAATGACCGGACAGAAAGACGGGATTTCAAGAGTAAGTCACTGAACAACAAGGGTTGCAGTAGTATAAATAGATTTTCAGCTACATTTGTCTCAGATGTTTTCGTCACATCAACATAGAACACCTTTTTTGGAACCGCTATATTTTAAGACCAGAACACGCAAAAGAAAATGTTTGGTTATTGACACATAATCTATATTTTAGCAAACCTTTTTTCTGATGAATTTTACTCATTACAATACCACCCAAACAATGAAGCAAGCTTTTAATGATCGTAAACTTAAAATGATATTTCTTTTTAAAACGGTTTTGTACCATATTTTTAAATGTGATATATTCACGTAATACTAATCAATGTATTTCGTGATCTGTTATTCACAAAACAAAAAACAATCCAAGGATATGAAGGCTATACGAAATGTACACGGTACGGTTTAAGGGTCATTCACGTGTTCATCTTTCTCTTTTAAACTCTTCATTAAGATATCCTGTGGATCATCATAGCTGGGATAGTTGTATTGGCTCTGGGTATCGTTTGCTGTGTGATGCTGGCGATAGTCCGGGAAGGGAAAGGGTAATCTCCAATTATTTCCTTTCTTTGCGTTAGATTGCATCATATATAACAAATACATTTATTTTCATGTATTAATTATCGCTTATTGCTTTATTTTCATGTATTAATTATCGCTTATTGCTTGCTGAGCTTTTGTATTGAAATCAAAATTGAAAATATGATATAAAGTGCTATAATTGATAAATACCTTTTAAAAACCATATCTGATAGACATTTTTTTAAAAATAGGATTTGATGATAACAACATGTACGTTTTAGAGATCCGATTATATAATGTTTGGCGTAAATATAGCTCCCATATAATACTTAAATATACATTTTAATTACGTAAGCGCGTATTGCGTGCACTTTGCCTGTGAATGTGATAAAAAAACTAAACATTTTCATAAATTTCAGTAAAACCGGACACAATAAGCACCGTAGAATGAGAGAAAGCATTTCCAGCACAGTGCTGAACCCAATGTATATCAAAGTATTGGCAGATACGGCCACAAGAGAACATGGTGGAATGACGTCAGTCACAGGTAAAAGTGATTAAGATGCCTAAAGTTTTATTTTCTTTGTTAATCTCAAACTACGGACCTGTATGATATACTGCATATACTAAAAACGTGTAAGATGATAAATTCATTTAAACACTACTCATTTCAGGCAATCGCCATTTCTGCAATCATCTTGATGAGAGCGTTCTCCCTCGACTAGATCTAATATCTGAAGAAACATCCGTAGATGTCACCCGCTGTCATTCCATTGAAGAAGGAACTGTTGAAATATATGACACCGTAGATTTTACACAAAACAGGAGTTAAATGTGTATTCTGTAGACAAGAAAGTGATGACGGGCACTACCGTCAATGTCGTGCCCCCGTGACCTGAACGTATAGCCTCATTTTCTGCTTTGAGAATATTGTTCTTGATTGTTCTCGTAAGAGTCAAAATGTAACAAGATTCAGTGGTTCTTAAGTCATTTAATTTTTTTAAAATAGCATCTGGAGAAATTATATCAACAAAGAACTATTACGTTATCATCACAGTGTAGAATAATATGATCGGTAGACAGCTATTTAACCATAATACGGTGTGAAAGGAATTTTTTGTTACTGTTACAGTTATTAAGTTACAAAACTGTGGTATTTAGTGCTCTGTCTATAATCTTATTATTGCATACATGGAGCAACTAGGCATAGTGTAACCATTGAGATATACAAACACCAATTATATTTTTAATATGTAGTTCCTATATGAGTGAAGGACATATTTTAACCAATTGGCTGACGTACATGTACATGTAGGAGGGAGTTTGATCAGCCGATTTGCCAGAAGGTTGGGTTGTTCCACGACAACCATTCAAAGGGTTAAAAAAACATTATTACCAAACACAGACAGCCACATGGGAAAGCTTGCCGTCTACATGCCAGATGGTATACCAGAGCTCTTGCCTAGACACTCGCCAACAAAAGGGGATACTGCTTTTAGATTGAGGCAGGTTGACCGTTAATTGTCAGAAGTGATGGACGCGTAAGATGGTAAGAAGTATTTCATGGTACATGGTATAGGCGTTGGCTACTATGGTGTAGGGGCGAAGTGGTATTGGTCAACGGGGACCGTATCGCAGAGCAATGCATCCAAATACCGGAAAGAAACTCTATGCAAATGCAGCAAGGCAACATTTACAACTGATGAGGTGGTCACAACAATTGGCATTTGTTGCTCGATTGATACGCCGGACAATAGGCTTGCCCAGCACGATTAGACACAATGTATATAAGGGCAGCAATCTACATGTAATGCACACATGAAAATTATTATGAATTGATTCACACCTTTGTCACAATGCATGATAACCTATTATGACCCACGAGATATAGAGATACGCCTATCTGACCGTTATCTAACTTAACTAACCAGTTTTACATTCCCCTCAGTGACAGCCGTATTGAAAAGGTACAAAATATTAGTTCAAGTTGCAGACATCCTGTCAAATATTTTCTTGCAGGGGCGCTGATTCTTCATTTAGGCGGGAAAATGGTCACAAAACGAATTTTCTAGGGTGAACGACAATTTTCCCTTACTTATAATTGGTGAATGACATTCAAAGTAAGTCTATTGTTTTTGTTAAGAGTGTGGTTTTTGTAATAAACTCATTTACATATGACATTCATATCGCTTTTTTTTGTTTTAGCTGCCTGACTGTCGAAGGCAGTTTACACAAGGAAAATATATATAAATTTATTGACTGACATTTTCAATAATTGGCCATTCTTTTTGTTGGAGTTCCAATGGTGAATGAAACATGTTTAAGACACAATCCTCTCCATAAAAAAACGGTTACTGGACATTCCTTTAAAAGATATTGAGCTTTTATGTAGCAAGAAATTAAACAATTGGGACAAAGGGAAGAAACCATTGTGTGCAACGGTGTCAATTGTTTAGTGTAATAATAAGATTGGTTAAACGTGATGACAAGACGAACGGGATATATTTCAACTTAGATAATAGATAGATAATAACAAATATGACGAGTAAAGTCATAACCCAAAAGGTCTTAATAACCCAGCGTTTGAAAAGCAGAACTGAATTTAAGAATCAGGAGTGCATTGGGGCGTATTCGTTTTTAAAAGAAAGAAAGAGCGTCAATGTGATTTCTGGCAAAAGGGAATTTATTTGGTATTTGATATGTAAGAATGTATTAATCCACTGAACGTGGTTTACGGGTAGTATGACATGGCGCGGTACCGGGTAAGCTACTGACTAATCTGACGTTGAAGTTTGACTTTGCTATTCTTGGGAGAGGTATCTTTAAACCCCAAAAGTGTGCTACTTTAAGATGGGCACCAGGTGTCTCTATTCTACATACATGAATGCACCCAAGATAATATTCTAGTACACGGCCAATAAACTGAGGTCAATAATCTTAATAAAGGTTCTGTTTGAAGACTATGAATGAATAAATAAATGCCGTCAATTCAAATTTCGGCGAGGAGGATACATACAGTAGGCATATAACGATACAAGGAAGAGGAAATCCGAGGTGTGACGCGTGGAAAGATATGACCTCGCTGCCAGTTTCAGATTGTATACAAGGCAGTGAACTAAATACGCCACTTTTCTCCATATGTCCCCTTTTTGTTTAAAAACTTTTTAACATCGTTTGTACTGTGATTGTTTAATGTACTATAATTTTTCATTATTACTTGCTGTCCAATGCAATCGTTATAGGATTTATGTTAACGTTAGTTAAAATAAACCAAGTAATATGCACACCACACGGACGAAAAGTGCTTTCTGTTTATGCAAATAAAGCAAATGCTGTTTTTTGTTTATTTTCTCCTACCGAAGCTCTAGCTGGCAGGGGTCCTCCTTGACAGACGTAGAGGTAGCAACAAGATCAATCTAAACATCGTTTACATTATGAAGGTTATCGTCAGGGTATCATTGAAACTATCTCTCCACTTCACCATGTCCACACATTATATCTCCATTAACTACCTCCTTGGGGCTTTATCAACGCCAGTTAAACCTTGTAGACACATAGTAAGCGCCATGTTTTATCTTTGCACGAGGGTAAACGAACAAACTCTGGCATGTGTTAGTGTGTGTTGATGGAAGGGGATGGTGTGCCTCTGTCGGCCGAATGTGTAGAGCGAACCGGCTCGTGCACACATTTTCGCCACCGACACAGACACACAACGCTCCCCCCCCCCCCGAGACACACACACATACACACACACACACACACACACAGAGAGAGAGAGAGAGAGAGAGAGAGAGTATTCATTTGCAAGTCATAGTAATCAGATAATTGACAACTGAACAGAAATCCAGCCCTCCTCGGCTGTACTCCATCTACCCAGATTGACAGCTGCTGGGCTGGTGCCTAATAACCCTTATCAGAATATTTTTTTCTTTTGCGATATTTATATTTTAAATCTTGTTTTACATACATGTATATGTCTTTATTGATTTATGTCGCAAATA